TTGAAGAAAAAACAAAAGAGGATTACAACGTAACTTCAATTGGAATAATATTAACCTAGAAAGAACAAAATGGTGCAGGAAATGATGAAATCAATGTACTTATCACTGAAAATGGAAATAAGGGAAATGACTACAATATTGCATGGAAAATTGAAACCCGATGACCAAGAAATTGACTTAGGATACATTCAAGCTGACAAAGAAATAACTAACGAGAAACAAGAAAAAGAGACTGACAATAAAGAAGAAGACAAAGACAAGGAAATTGATTATGGAAAATTAAATGATTGTGTGGGTAGTAATAATAAAAAGGAGAACTTTAAAAATTATATTGGGATTAACAATGGAAGAAAAAGGGGAAAGAAACAAAGAAAGAAAAGAGAGTGGACCAGAAAGAATATAAGAAATTTAAATGATTACACTGGGATTATCAGTGAGAACATAAGAAAAAGGGAAAAGGGATGGAAAAAAGAATGGGAAAGATACAGCAAAATAGAAGAGTTTATTATCTTAAAAAACAAAGTGATTATATTGGAATTAACAGTGGAAAGATAAGAAAAAGGGAAAAGAAAGTTCAGGATTTTAAAATACAAAAGAAAAGACAGGGAAAGAAAAAGAAAAGAAAATATAAAGATAGAAAGGGAGAAAGAAATGGAACTGGAATATGGGGTAAATGAAATGAATACTAGAGAAAAGATGAAATTGTATTTTTAATGAAGTGATGACACCCCTGATCTAGGAGGCCTGGGGTTGCACTGGACTCCCAATTTTCTTAAACTGGGTGAAGTGCCTAATCTTCCACTTTATCAGATATCACAACAGTATCCATCTCTGCATCTCCAATGGATTTACTCAAGCAAATGCTTGAAAAAACTGTACAGCTGATCTTCACAACCATCAATGGTATTACCTCCATGAGAAGAAAGGTTGTTAATATATCTTGAGGGCAGGAATGTGTGATATCTGCCTCTCCCAGTACCCCTCCCCCCACTAAAAACAACTTCTGTCCACAACTTGGTCCAGTTTATGAGTTGAGCTTATCTTCATTACATTGTAAGTGCTTGACTTACAAAAATTCACTTGATGACTGTTCAAAGTTACAACGGCACTGAAAAAAGGGACTTGTGACCAGTTTTATGATCGTTACAGCATCTCAATGGTCACGTGATTTACGTGTGGATGCTTGGCAACTGACTCGCATTTATGACAGTTACAATGTCCCTGGGTCACATGATCACCTTCTGCGACTTTCTGACAAGCAAAGTCAATGGGAAAACCAGATTCACTTAACAACTGTGTTTGCTAACTTAACCACTGCAGTGATTCATTTAACAACTGCGACAAGAAAAATCGTAAACTGGGGCAAAACTCACATAGCAAATTTCTCACTTAGCAACATAAATTTTGAGCTTAATTATGGTTGTAAATTGAGGACTACCTATATAGACAAATGTTTCCACTCCAACTGGCCAATCTATGCTGCTTCCATTCTTGGGTCACTGGTACCTGCCCTCTCTGGATGTTTTATTTTGGGCTGACTCTCCCCTTTTGAAGGCATCTCATTCAGTGAACCTGGACTGTTTTCTTCATTTAAAATATATATATATATATATATACACACACACACACACACACACATACACACATACTTTATTGTCATTGTATGTATATACACAGTATACCCATACAATGAAATTCACATAACACTTCATCAATGGATGACACTTTTTTAAAATAAATTCAACTGTGGAGAAGTGAAAAGTTGGTTTCCTTCTCCTTCTCCTTCTCCTTCTCCTTCTCCTTCTCCTTCTCCTTCTCCTTCTCCTTCTCCTTCTCCTTCTCCTTCTCCCTCTCCTTCTCCTTCTTCTCCTTCTCCTCCTTCCCATCCTTCCACTACTGGACATACCACCAATCATAAAATATCTATCATTGAAAACCACATCCCTCAAAGATTAACACACAGAAAGTAACACAATTGGTGTACAGGTAAGATAGGTAAAGGATCAAGAGACTCCACCACTGTGGCCAAACCAGAGGAAGGAGATGAAATCTGGAAAATGATTTCTTAAATTCATTTCCAATCAGTTAAGCCATAAACAGCTTAAGGCTATACTGTAATGCAGAAAACCTCTAAAGTTATCTAGATGATTGGTCTCAACTACGCCTCTTTAAAAGCAAAATGTTCTGGGAAAAAAAAAACATTTGCCATTGTGAGAATGATAGACATTGCATGGCACTTCAGATAAGCATTGCATGCCAAACTATAGAAGTATCCTTCAAGCTGGGGAGTTTATAGCTGAGTTTGATGCTACACCCAAGGAGCGTTTTAAAAAAAAACTACTCACACGACAACCTTAAAAAGAAATCCAACATAATATAGTTACTGACCACAAACCAGAAAATGGTGATAGATCTGATGTCAGAAGTATATTTATTTATTTTAATTATTTGTTCAATTTTTATAGCCGCCCAACTCAACCAAGTCATTCTAAGCAGCCTACAATGCTGCTGGTACAAAATTATAAAAATAAAAATTAGTTATTCCAGACAGTACTTTTGACATCAACTTTCTTTTATGAATGAATTCGTACCGCGTCACCTAGGAGAGATGACTGGCATAAAAATTTAATAAATAAATATATAAATAAAATTTAACTGTGTACTTAGCAACAGACCCTACTGAAAATGTTTCTGTAGTGGTGACTGTTATTTTCTAGAATGAATGAAGTATCTGATGACACCATAGAACAGGGGTGGGCAGGCCTGTGGACTTCAACTCCCAGAATTCCTGAGTCAGCATGCCTAGTTTGGGAATTCTGGGAATTGAAGTCCACAGGTTTCCATAGTTGCCTGCCTACCCCTGCTATTGAAGATAGTATGACAACTCTGCTTTTTGAAAAGCTGGAATATGTGGTAGTTGCCGTAGTTGCCATGAGAGGTCAGAGTTACAACAACCATGTTAAAATTAACCCTGAACCCTCTAACTGTGTTTGTCCTACTCAGATATTTTGTCAACTTCTATTGAGACTGAAGATTTTTTTTAATGGAATCAAAGCATCTATGGATAGTGCTCGACTTCTGACCCAAATGGAACTCGCCCATTACAGTTGTAAGTCGTGGCCGATCATAAGTCAAGGACTAGCTATATGTTTTTTTCTCTGCATTGACTCATCCGTGGTAAATGTTGATGCGACATTTGGAACAACCTCTCCACTCTGAGTACTTTACAACAAGATGCAAATGTCAAGTGGGAGAGATTAAAGCCTACACAATACCAAAGTGAAGTAACAAAATGTGCCATTTTGTCAGTGGTGAAATCCAAATTTTTTTACTACCGGTTCTGTGTGCGTGGCTTGGTGGGTGCGGTGTGGCTTGGTGGGCATGGCTTGGTGGGCGTGGCAAGGGAAGGATACTGCAAAATTCCCATTCCCACCCCACTCCAAGGGAAGGATACTGCAAAATCTCCATTCCCTCCCCATTCTGGGGCCAGCCAGAGGTGGTATTTGCCAGTTCTCTGAACTACTCAAAATTTCCGCTACCGGTTCTCCAGAACCTGTCAGAACCTGCTGGATTTCACCCCTGCATTTTGTTCTCTTTGACAGGAATTGTTTCTGGGAGAACTGTGGCAGAAGGTGCTGTAATCTCAGAAATATTCCTATTTTTAAAATACTGACTGGTTTAATATGGTGGCCTAACATAATGTTTGAAATAAATCTTGTTAACAAGAGATTTCAAGATATTTCAAGGTGGGAGCTGACAGTTTGCAGGGTAAAAGAAGACGAAAATTAAACAACCTTGTTATTGTAGGGGGAGACAATAATAGTAGATCCCCTGGTTAGTCAAATTGAGCTCCTGGAAAAAAGACAGGTTACAAATTTAGCACAGAGAGCCAGTTTGATCTAGTGGTTAAGGTACCAGTATAGAAATCGGGAAGCTGTGAGTTCAAGTCCTGCCTTAGGCATGAAAGCCAGCTGGATGACCTTGGGACAGTCACTCTCTCTCAGCTCAACCCACTTCACAGGGTTATTGTAGGAGGAGGAAAGTGAGTTGGATATCTTTTCCTTGAGTTATTTGTAAAAATAATAAAGGGAGAATACAAATAAATTAATATATATATATAACCAAAATAAATAATAAACTTCTGAAGGAAAATTAGCATAACTACTGTACATGGAACTAATGAATTGGCAAGGAAGCAGCTACAAGGACAAACAGAAAAAAAAAAAAAACGAAACCCAAGTATATACATTACACTAATCAGGTTTAACATGATCAAGAGATCACTCAGCAAACATTTCTCAAACCATCCAGCAAAGTATAGCTAACTGCATTTTGCAATGGCATCTTGTGCCGGTCAGCTGGCGCTTCCTGTGGTTGCGAGTATGTGTGTGCAATTTGTCAATTTTTTACATTTCCAGTGACAACAAACCCCGCTTTTGTGGTGAAAAATCGTTCATCCTGGTTCAAAATTAGGAGCAGGCGAACGGTTCCTTTAGAAGTGACTCTGCCCAATTTTTCAACTTTTCTTCCCCTCTTGAAGTTTTCAGACAAAGAAAGCCTGCTTAAGCAGAAAAGAGCAATTTACTCCTGAAGAAAGACACAGAAGATTATAGCGACGGGTAGAATAATCTATAACAGGCCTTGGATACGCAGGGTTAGCATTTTAACCACCATTTAACGGATGGTCTGAGTTCGAATGATGAAATACCATCCTATTATCTGGAAGTGCTCAGAATCAAATCTGAGAATTTTGCATATAAGATTTGCTAAATAACAGCTCCACCCTTGAGTCTCTCTGGCTGAGTGCTCAATCATCCTCCTCAGCCCTAAAGGCAACCTTTGCAACCTCGTTTATGACTTGTTTTTGACTTCCATCCCTCTCTGCCATCACCCCATCAACTAGTCTTTAAAAGAAAGGAAACAGCAGAGAGGACCCCAATCTTTCATTCAACCGTGGGATGTACACAGACCTTCTTCCCTTGCCCACAAGACCAGCTTACCTCGCAGACTCAGTCCGAGCAGCAGGGTGAACAAACCGTGTGGAAATACTAAACCAGCCATGGTGAAGTGGTGAAAAACAGGTGCGAGAGATCACTTTCCAGAGCGCATGGCCAGAAGTCACTAATTTGATAGCCTCTTCTTCTCCTCCCGAAGCCACCGAGGCTCAACTCCCAAAACAGAAATGGGAAGAAGTGAGGCTGAATTTCGACATCAAATAATCTTCTGCAGAGCAAGATCTGAAAGGAGAGGGAGGAGTGAAAAGAGGAGGAGAGAAAGCTTCTTCTGGAGCGACATCTGACATCACCAACTTAAGTTTTAAATATCAGGGTTCCTGTGCAACCCTCAGAAAGCTGGTGCGATGCTGCACCTTTAGCATCTGATCAGCTGGAATGGGATTGGATGGATTTAAATAAAAGCTTCCTGAGAGACACCGGGAGATTTCATTGAAAAGCACCACACATCTTTAAAATGATATATAATGCAAGAACCAGCAGTATGTTTGGGTCGTGAGTTGCACTTTTCCTATTTTGTAGCTTCTGAAGAACCCTAGAAAGTTTGTCAGGACAGATAATAAAAAAAAATAATAATCTGATTTTCCCGCCCCCTGTGTTTGCTTTGAGAGGCTCTGAGGAGATTTTAAAAGGTACAATTTTTATTTATTTATGAGGTTCTTTTATTATTGCATCTTTTTTTACTTTATAAGTAACTCGAGGCAGCAAACATACATACTGCTCCTTCCTCCATCTATTTCCTCCACAACAACTCAGCAAGAGGGTTGGGCAGAGGGACAGTGATTACCCCAAAGTCACCCAGCCTATGATAGGACTAGAACTCACCATCTCCTGGATTCTAGCCTAGAGCCTGAACTACTAAACCAAATGGTTCTCATCCACTTCGCTTCTTTTTGTTGGCTCCAAATCACTCAAAATTTAATTTTTTGGTTGACAAATGACTAAGCAGTGTTTGAAAACCCCAATCAAGGCTTGGGGCCACATAAGAATTGTGACTCAATTCTTTGTTTTAATGATTTAGGGGTTTCCCCCCCCTCTAAACCAGAATTGGATAATCCATGTGGCCTTGACAGACCCATTTTTGACTTGTACAACCCCACAAGGCCACACTGCCCTCTTCAGTTATGGCAGAGCTCGCCAAAAGTTGTTTGTACATGGAAATATGTGAGGAGGTGTTAATTTCTGCTTCTGAACCAAAATGAAAATGTGATTAAGAAAATATTAGAATGTGCAGAAATGAATAGATTAACACTTGCCATTAAAGGAAAGGAAGAATCTGACTATTATAGTATATGGGAGTTATTTTATCAATGGTTAAATATGAAAATTAGAAATAAAAGCGGAAATATTGAAAATGTATTACAAAGCCAAATAAGCTAAGAAGAGAAATGTTATAATAGTAGATATGTTCTGTATTAGTATTAATCCAAGAATAGATATAATGAACATGGTTGTAAATTTTAATGGTTATTGCACAAAATATTTGTGCTCAGATGACATACTATTTAATGAAAGATGAAATGTTTGTATTAAAAGAAAATTAAAAATTAAAAAAAAAGTTATGGCAGAGCTTGCCAATAGTCGTTTGCGCATGGAAATATGTGAGGAGGTGTTAATTTCTACTTCTGAAACAAAATTCAAAGATTGGCACTGCAGACAGCCAACCAACAAGACAGTGAGCTGGCTACAGTCCAGAAATACGCAAATTCAGCCAAGACTTTTTAAAGCAAAAAGTTCATTTTACCTAAGGCTAAAGACAGCAATTGCCCCAGAGTTAAGGTTTGGCTTGGGTCAAGACCAGGAATCCAATACAAATAGTCCTCGACTTACGATCAAAATTGAACCCAAAATTTCTGTTGCTAAGTGAAACAGCAGTTAAGCAAATTTTGCCCCGTTTTGCAACTTGTTTTGCCACAGTTGTTAACTGAATCACTGCATTTGTTAAGTTGGCAACACGTGGTTGTTAAGTGGATCTGGCTTCCCCATTCACTTTGCTAATCAGAAGGTCGCAAAAAGGGATCACATGATCCCGGGACACTGCAACTAAATATAAATCAGTTGACAAGTGTTTGAGTTTTGATCACATGACCATGGGGGGGGATGCTACAGCAATCGGAAGTGTGAAAAATGGTCATAAGTCATTTTTTCAGTTTTGTCGTAACTTCAAACAGTCACTAAATGAACTGTTGTAAGTCGAGGACTACCCGTAAACTAAGGACAAATGGAAGAGACAGACACCAGACCTGATGAGTTCAAATCCACATTTCGAAGCACGGCATAGCATGGAAAACACAGAATAACAGAATTGGAAGGGACCTTGGAATTCTTCTTCTTCTAGTACAGAATCTGGAGGGATAAATGTGAGGATGTGCTCCGGTGGTTTACAACCTGCTTTTCGTATACCAGATTCTTTTTTTAAAAAAATTAGTTGCAAAAGAAAAAGAAGAAAAATAAAAGGAGGAATCGGTGCTCATTTTTTTTTAAATAAGAGCTTTGGAACTTTGAGGATTTGGAATGTCTTTATACTATCCTCAATTTATGAACAGTCACTTAGTGACCATTCAAAGTTACAACAGACCTCCCCAGAGCTACTTATGACCCAGTTTTTAAGTTGCAATGGCCATCACCCCTCCTCCTGGGTCAAATGATTGCATTTTGGGTGCTTGGCAACCCACCTAAATTTACGACCTTCTGCAGCGTCTTTTGCAGTCACACAACCAAAAATTTGTAGTCTTTACTTTTGGTTCCTGGCAAAAAATGCCCATTGGCTAAAATGGATTCGCTTAACAACTGTTCTGTAAACTTAACCGCCATGATGCTTGTGCTTAACAGCATCAGCTTAACAATTGCCACAACCCCACCCCCTCATAAAATTGGACACAGTCGTGTGGTGACCCGTTTAACAACCAGCATGACGTACAGCTGTAATTCTGGGTTCAATTACAGTTGTAAGCCGAGGACTGCCTGTAAACTGTCGAAGTTGAACGTCCGTTAGGCACGAGCAGGACAGATGAAAGAAGCAGATACTATTTTGAGGAGAGTGTATTTTCGGCTTCAGTGCAAGGCAACCCGCAGGTAGAAACCGGAGGAAATGAAAGCCAGGCAAACAACAGGAGATGTGGAGGCCTTGATGTAGATGCAAAATGGGCTTCCTGTTTCACCACCACAGGAAGTGGCAGGCAGAGGCACTAAGGTACGCACGCAGCAGACAGTCTTGCTGTGTCTCATCGCTTCAGCAAGAGGCCCATTATGGTAAGAGAACCCAGAAAATATCCCCCCCTAACTTTTGTCGTCTTTCCTCAGAGCAGGAAGTCTTGAGATGACCTTTCTTTGTCTGGCCTTTAGGAGAAAGATTACGTTGGCTTTGCTACGTTGCCCACCCAGGTCCACAGGAAGACCGTGAAGAAGGGGTTTGACTTCACGCTGATGGTAGCAGGTAAGTCGTTACGCCACTGGCTTTCTCCATCGGAGGAAATGCCAAAGTCTCTGCTCCCCACCTTAGCCCACCAAGCCCATCTGCTTTCTTCCCAGGATATGTCCTTGCCCCTTGCATCTGTTTTCTCTTCCTGAATTGATTTACGCACACTATGTTCTGTGGTGGTGCAGCATTCAAACACAAGAGCTAGATTCAGAAGAAGGACTTTTTTTTTTTTAATTTGATTTATATGCCCTCTTATCCGGAGACTCGGGGTGGCTTACAGTGTGTTAAGCAATAGCCTTCAGACTTTTGTATATTTTATACAAAGTCAGCTTATTGCCCCACAAACTGGGTCCTCAATTTACCTACTTTAGAAAAGATGGAAGGCTGAGTCAACCTTGAGCCTGGCAAGATTCGAACTTACTTTAATTGCAGACAGCTGGTGTTAAATTACAGTGCTTAGTCTGCAGAGCTATCCAGGCTCCACTTAGTGGCCAGTGGGAGCACAGCTTTCCTCTGCTATTCATTGAAGCAAGCTAATGGGACTTTTCTTCTTCTCCTTCTCCTCCTTCCAGAATTGCTCACTGTACTGTAATGTAAGATGGTGAAAATGGGCGGTGTCTTATTTTGTTTGTATCTTGGTTAAGAAACAGGCAATTTTCACTTTTGAAATCAGCGCATCTGAGAGAATACCGTTAACATCTAGTATTCATAATTCTTAAATTTATATAGTTCTAATCTCAAGAGCAATTAGTACTAGTTTATGGTGCTAAGATCGAGAACAATCTGTGTGTGTGTGTGTGTGTGTGCATATATATGCCTATATATACAGGTAGTTCTCAATCTACAACAATGGAGCCCACAATTTCTGTTGCTAAGTGAAATATTTCTTAAGTGAGTTTTGTCCCATTTTACGAACTTTTTTGCCACAGTTATTAAGTGAATCACTGTGGTTGTTAAGTTAGTAACAGGATTGTTAAGTGAATCTGGCTTCCCCATTGACTTTTCATGTCAGAAGGTCGCAAAAGGGGATTTACATGACCCCTGCAACTGTCATAAATATGAACCAGTTGCCAAGCATCTGAATTTTAATCACGTGACCATGGAGATGTTGCAATAGTCATAGGAATGAAAACTGGTCATAAATCCCTTTTTTCAGTGCCGTCGTAACTTTGAACGGTCACTAAATGAATGGTTGTAAGTCAAGGACTACCTGCATTGCTTCCTCCACTCACCCAATGGAAGTCTGAACATCATGGCCAGGATAAGGTAAAATTGTGGCTTTCTCTTATCGCATTTGGGTCATTGATTCATTTCTATCATAAATTATACCCTGGACCTTGATTCAGCCTTGAAGGATACCCAGATGTGTAGTATGTTAGATGTTTAGATGTTAGTTAGACCATGTCAGAGACTGAGTTTACACCAGGGTTGGTAGTCACTTACTTTCCCTACCAGTTCGTAAATGGGAGTGCACTCACGCGCTCGCACATGCCCCGGTCACGCATGCGCCCGGCCTCAAAAACGTACCTAAACAGGATGGCATAGAACAGGGGTGGGTGGGCAGGCACAGCCGCAATTTCCGCTACCGGTTCAGGTGAACCGGTTCGAACTGCCTGAATACCACCTCTGATTTACACAAGTTATACACTATGTTGACCATTTGCTTGGCTTTGCTTAGCATGTCAGAGACCCCGGCCAATGGCAACTCACCCGATACATCATCATGAAGCAGTGACTTTGTATACTCCTAACTTGTACTTGCCCTGAAACTTC